ATAGCCTAGGGTGAAGTCATTACGTACATTAACAATGATTTGGGACAAATATAATGTAATTTAATGGAAAACTATGTGAATGGTGCTCTGTTCCGTGGCAGGATTTTCTGTCGGCTGCATTTAAATGCAGGTTTGAAGTTTCCCGCTCTGTGCAGCGCGCAGTGTCACGTGTCAAAACAAACAACAGGTGCTGTTAGTGATTTCCGCCTCTAGAGGCCGCTCTCGTACTGTATAATGGCAGCGGACCCTTCTCGGCCACTCCAGCAACGGACGCAACCCGGAAAACTATCGGCATTGATTTTTGCCGATAACCGATAGTTCCGCCAATCAACTATCGGTGCCGATTAATCGGCAAAACCGATGAATCGGTCGACCTCTACTACCTATGATCAAGGGAATTTTGGTTTATCAGTTCATGTCCCCTTTAAGGCAGTCAATTTATAGTACAGTTCTCCTTCTAGGCAGGCTTTATCTCATATGCAGCTACACTGACCTTCACACAAGCTCTGATGAGTCATATCAGCCTGTAAATACAAACCCATTGTAGCACACGCTGACGGGGCTCTTAAGTCAGACGCACAAAACTGGCACATCCAACGCTTGCAGACTGCAGTCAGGATGCAGGTGCTGCTCTGGAACTCAATAGACCTTGCTGGAGTATCTACTTAAAAACTGCTCAAAAACTAGGTCTGCATCACTGTCTGAGCACTGACTGAATGTGCGATTACTTTGACATAATACTGACGTGATGTTAAGACTGTATTGGCTGCCAGAGCCTCACAAAGGGTGATGTGAAGGCTCTGGCAACATCACAGGGGCCGACAGTGTCGTCTAAATAGAGCTCATTGTGAGCTTTCTGGCAGATTCTGATACTGTGAACACAGCGTCCTCCTGTTTTCCAACCATAGCTGGCTAAAACACAACACAACTATTGATGACCGGCTGAATAACTTAACAGTGTAGCATTTAGAGGAAGGAAATAGTGGTCTTTGTACCTCCCAAAAGCTGTCCATGGCCTCATCAGCAACAGCGGATTCATCGTAAGAGCCAGACATGGTGCTGGGTGATGCGAAGCAAGACTGAACACGTCTGCAGAAAAGCGGACTTCCTCAAGCACTAAAGAGAGAGAGACAGAGACACCTTCAAAAATGTATGAATGGTATTGCATGAAAGAACAAAATATCAAAGCAGCTGGCAAAACGAGTTGGAAAAGCACAATTCACAATCTCACAAAACATCTAGCTAGCATGATAAAACGCTCGATATCCTATCCAAAATCAAGAAAGAAGCACTGAAACTTTGTGATTATCACAGAATATGCTCATAGTTAATGTGATTTTCTACACTCTGCTATGACACTGTTTAACCTTGAAGAGAACTGACTTCATACATCCAGTAAAATAACCAACTAAACCTGTTGATTAAAGGTCAAAAATGGTCCAGAAAAGTTCATTCTGAAAGCTCCTGAAGCATTTGAGAGCAGCTGACACTGAGACATGCTGGCTTCAGAGTCTGTTCTTACTTAGGAAACCTGCTTCTTCATCAGTTTAACAGAAGGAAATTATACGAATGCATGCATAAAGCAAAACAAAAATGTACCAATGTACCAAAACTGTACCAAGTTTAAAGACAGTATACAAAGAAAAAGAGGCGTTGACTATAAAAAATACTCCAATCAAATTAAAGCAAACTATTTTTGTCTATTATTCTATTGTGTGTTAAGTCTAGCGTGTTGAGCTCTATTCATGGTTGCTGAGTTGCTGCACTGTAAATCTGCCAGTTAGAAGGTTCCACCTCTGTTAGGATGTTTCCACTGGATTAAACAGCATTAACTGAATGGCAGAGCTATGCAAACAATCATGCTTTTATTTTGCACCCTGGTTTTTATACATTTTTTGTCTGTAGAGCAATGCTCTGGTTAGCAAAAATTAACAATGCAGTGCTAACTGCATCATAATAATAGCATGTGATGATGCTCAGTCATTGTTCAACACGAAGAATACTTCATGAGCCTCAACAGTGTGTCACATGTTCAGTTTGTTTTGTTACGGTTTTCCTTGTGTTTCCTGTTTGGTTCCTGTCTTTCCTTATTTGGTCACCTTCCTGTCCTTGTTTAGTTTCATTTATTAATCCCCGGCACCTGTGTTTTGTAATCATCCAGTGTATATTAGTCCCTGCCTGTTCAGTTCTCCTTCGTCTGATCAACTCATTACGTTCTCTGTGTTTCTTTATGTTTATGCTCAAGTAGGGCTGCACGATTAATTGAATTAGATTAGATTAGATTAGATTAGATTAGAAATCTTTATTGTCCACACATGTGGAAATTCATCTTCGGCCCCGCCAAAACATATAGGACTACCACAAATACACTTAACTTCACAGTCCAATACAACAGACACACAAAACACAGTTCAAGAACGTCTTGCCCCAAGGATTACAGACACCTGAGACATAAAAGCAGTATAGAAATTAGGCTAATAGTACTAAAACCATAAGTAGATAATTAATAAATAAATAACTAAACAAGAGCGCCCTCTGGCCTTTGGATGGAGATTTACTGCTGATCACAGAACCGTGCTTCACTGAAAGATACGCATGACAATCGCAGCTTCTGTCGAATCGCGATCTCGATTCCATTTCGATTTATCGTGCAGCCCTATGCTCAAGCTTTTGTGTTAGAATATTCCCCATGTTTTCATTTATTAAAGACTATTTAAGTTATTCTACGTCTCCTCGTCTCCTCGCTCATCCCCGCTGTGTGCACCGTGACAGATGATCAGACCAAAACAGATGATGACTGAGGACAAGCTGTGGGGTTTGCGGCAGGATGGTCCTTCCCATGTGTGATTATCCCCTGATCGAGCTGATTAATCTCGTCCTTTTCTTAAATGATTCAGATTTTGAAGTGGAAAAAAGAAAGGAAATGTTTAAATCTCGTCGTCCAGCCCCCTCTGAGGCACACCGCGTCTTGTCAGCTCACACCACGCCAGGAACCCCCACATACCGTACCAACGGCTCGGACCGCCTGCCCAACCCCAAACACCCCCGTCGGTCGCTCCGAGATCAAGCCCGCCGGCTGCAGATCACACAAGCCTGCCAGACGTTCAGCACTCAAGTTCGCCAGTCTCTCCGTTGTCAAGCACGCTGGTCATCTCCCTCTCCTCAGCCCAAAAGAGGAGAATGCGGAGGAAGAGACTGTGGGCTCCAGCCCCAGAGCTTGCTCCAGTGTCGGCTCCAGCCCCAGAGCTCGCTCCTTTGTCGGCTCCAGCCCCCAAGTTTAGCCCAGTGAGGGCTCCTGTTCCCAAGCTCCCTGCTCCACCATGGCCTCCCGAGCTCCCTGCTCCGCCATGGCACCTAGAACTACCTGATCCGCCCTGGAGGCCTTCCTTGTCCCCATCCTGCACCAGCCTCCAGGGCGCCCACCTCCCCTCCCCGGTGGAATTTTTACGGCGCGGGACGCGCCTTTCGGGAGTGGGGAGTAATGTCACATGTTCAGTTTGTTTTGTTATGGTTTTCCTTGTGTTTCCTGTTTGGTTCCTGTCTTTCCTTATTTGGTCACCTTCCTGTCCTTGTTTAGTTTCATTGATTAATCCCCGGCACCTGTGTTTTGTAATCATCCAGTGTATATTAGTTCCTGCCTGTTCAGTTCTCCTTCGTCTGATCAACTCGTTACGTTCTCTGTGTTTCTTTATGTTCATGCTCAAGCTTTCATGTTAGAATATCCCGTGTTTTCATTTATTGAAGACTGTTTAAGTTATTCTACATCTCCTCATCTCCTCGCTCCTCCCCGCTGTGTGCACCGTGACACGGTGTATATTTTGAGTTTATCGACAAATCAGACAACAAAGACTTTTAGAAATCTAGATTTTTAGAGATGATTCTTTTAAATTTTTTTGCAATCCCTTGTAAAAAAAAAAAAAAAGAAGTGTGTTTCATTTTAATGCACTTTGTGTTCTTCAAATGTTTAAAGAAAAACAAGCTTGCATATGTAATATTAATAAAATAAAGCACTTTGTAATGATGTTTTACTTTAAAGTATATTTTAAATAATTATGTTTTAATAATATTCTGTCATGCTTTAAAACAGTAGAGTTATTTTATGTTTTGACTAACATACTAAAGCACAGGTATTTGTTTATAATTTAACTGTAGCGTGTTATTTGGTATTACATTGGCAATTAATATATTTTAAATGTATTAAAGGTACAATATGTAAGTTTTCACCGCTAGAGGGCGCGTATTCAAAACAAACAAAGAAACAAAGGCGTAGTTTGATGAAGCCGTGACTGAGTGTGGAATCATGGGAGTTGTCTGCTGCGTCCCAATTCGCCTACTTATACTATACCCTAAAAGTATGTACTCTTTTTGTGAAGAAAAAGTACATACTTTTGAGTATGTAGAAGAATAGTAGGCAAGCTTTGGGACATGCTACTTCGTCATAGCTGCTTCTTTAATGGACGCTCTGTTGCTTAGTTATGTGCATTCTGTCACTGTTTAAACTGCCCTGTCAATCATCTTATC